CCAATTCCACATGTCCCCAAATCCACATACCCCCAATTCCACATATCCCCAATTCCACATATCCCCAACTCCACATATCCCCAACTCCACATATCCCAAAATGCACATATCCCTAACTCCACATACCCCAATTTCACATATCCCAAAGTCCACATATCCCCAAATCCACATATCCTCAAATCCACATATCCCCAAATCCACATATCCCCAAATCCACATATCCCCAAATCCACATATCCCCAATTCCACATATCCCCAACTCCACATATCCCCAACTCCACATATCCCCAACTCCACATATCCCCAACTCCACATATCCCCAACTCCACATATCCCCAACTCCACATATCCCCAACTCCACATATCCCCAACTCCACATATCCCCAACTCCACATATCCCCAACTCCACATATCCCCAACTCCACATATCCCCAACTCCACATATCCCCAACTCCACATATCCCCAACTCCACATATCCCCAACTCCACATATCCCCAACTCCACATATCCCCAACTCCACATATCCCCAACTCCACATATCCCCAACTCCACATATCCCCAACTCCACATATCCCCAACTCCACATATCCCCAACTCCACATATCCCCAACTCCACATATCCCCAACTCCACATATCCCCAACTCCACATATCCCCAACTCCACATATCCCCAACTCCACATACCCCCAATTCCACATATCCCCAAATCCACATGTCCGAAATCCCCATACGCCTAAATCCCTAAGTTCCAAATCTCCCTAAAAAAGACTTTTCTCTTCACCTCGTATTTTCCACGAGAGAGTTAAATTTGACCTAGACTGTACCTTTTCATCGATGATCATCCTCGAGAGCATTTCTCCAGGGGGTCAGAAAAGACCCTTCGGTTGGTTCTCACTGAACGGAAGTTGTCCGACATCGGGTTCCGTAAAGAGAAGAGAGACGAGCGGGAAAAGTGGTTGCAACGTAGAACGAAGAGGAACTGTTTCAACGACGCTTCCTGCGGCTGTAGAAACGGAGATGCTGCGTTACCAAAGCAGTCTCAAGATGTAAACTGTTTGCCAGCGTTTCCGCTGACAACGGAAACGCCTGGAAATGGCTAAGGCAGTCGGTGAAATCCTGTTCAGACAGCCACCGACATTCGGAGCAACTACTCCGGCTGGTCTCTCCTGTTTATTTTATCGTGTTCTCTTGCAAACGGTCTTTGTTTCTCTTCCACGATATATTCGCCGTCCTGTGTGAATACACCTTTGTGGTTCTGTTGTTTGTGCCCGCGAAGTTGCGTCTACATTATGTAAGAGCTTCTCGTGTAACTGCGTCATGTTATGGATTTAAAACTTGTTTCTCGTATTATTCACAGTTTGAGTTCAAATTTTGGGAACTTACTGGAATTACTATTTTTAGATTTCAAGTGTCAAGTATTCTGAGTTTCAAGATAGTGATTCTGAATTTCAAGATACTGAAATTCTGAAGATCTAGGTCACAAGATTTTTAGATACAGAAGGTTGTAAATTTTTGTGTCTTTTTATATTGTAGATCTACGTGTTCCAAATTCTCACATACCAAATCCACATGTCACAAATCCTTACACACCAAATTTACATGTCTCTAATCCTCACATACCAAATCCACATATCCCCGATTCCACATATCTCCAACTCCACATATCCCCAATTCCACATATCCCAAATCCACATATCCCCAACTCCACATATTCCAAAGTCCACATATCCCCAAATCCACATATCCCCAATTCCACATATCCCCAATTCCACATATCCCAAAATTCACATATCCCCAATTCCACATACCTCCAATTCCACATATCCCCAAATCCACATATCCCCAATTCCACATATCTCCAAAATCGTCTCCCCTCAAATCATCATCTCCCCAAAAAGAACCCACCACCCCAAATTCCACATATCCCAAAATCCACATATCCCCATTTCCACATATCCCCAATTTCACACATCCCAATTCCACATATCCTCAAATCCACATGTGCCAAATCCTCATATCCCAAAATCCACACGTCCCAAATCCTCACATACTAAATCCACATGTCCCAAATTCTCACACACGAAATTCATAAGTCCCCAAATCCCTAGATCCCAATTTTCCTGTGTCCTACTACCTAAATCCCCATTAACTAAGTTCCCAACGTTCATTCTACAATCCAAAAATAAACAAAGCAAAATTTCTTCACTAAAACTGCACTGCTACCCACCGAAAATTAATCAGTCGAACGAGTTACCTCGTCGCAAGAGATTGAAACAGTAATTATTTCTGCATGAACGTAATAAGCAAAGAACCAGTACGAAACTAAATATGATTTTCGAAACTGCGTTTACGGCGAGCGATCAAAACCAAATTGCCGGAATTCGCGGATAACGAAGGACAGCGGAACAGCAAGCGACACGAACGGAAATCGATTTGAAATAGAACAGAAATATCGTTGTCGGGCGCGATTAAAAGGATCCTGGACGTGCGACACTCGGTAGATGAATCGACGAGCGGAAAAAATCGTGCGTATTGATCTCTCACGATGGTGACAAATTGCGTGGCTTCGTTTTGTTCCTGGAGAACCAAAAATGGTTTTTATTGAACTGACCGCGAGCTAGGGACAAATTGCGCCTTCCATTTTGTCTCTTTGATCGTTGTGCAAGTGCGTCGTTAACATTCATGCCAACAATGGCGCTTCCCATTTAGAAAATTCGATTCTTGTGATTCATCTATTTGCAATTTTTTAGATTTGTATTTATGCGGATACTTGAATGATATTAAGTCGATATGTGATAACTGTCCCCTCTCAGAATTTACCATAGCCGGCATTTTTTAGATTTGTCAAAATATTTATGCGGATGCTTGAATGATATTAAGTCGATGAGTCTTTATGATAACTGCCCCGTTCACAATTTACCAAACCGTCACATTTTTTGCAGTTTCATTCAAGGCAAAATTGCATTTATCGACCTACCTTTGCCGTAAGGAGCGAGCAGCAGCAAATTCACCAAAGCAGCCCCGGTATCGTGTCCAATCAACGTGATTTTCGTTGGATCTCCTCCGAAAGCAGCGATATTTTCGCGCACCCAACGCAGTCCCATGGCAATATCCTTCAACGCCAGGTTTCCACCGGATCCTGGCGTTCTGTCCGGATACGGACGAGTTCTCAGGAAGCCTGGAACACAGCCAAACCTTAACTCCACCACTTTCCTTGTGTCTTCGTTTAAAAGAACACATCCAAAAGGTCTATACTATTATTCTTCCCTATTATTCTATCATATCTGTTCACCTCGATCCTCCACCTTATTTTTCCTCTATTATTCCGCCATTGTTTTCCTCCCTATGTTTCGCGCAAGTTCGAATACACAATGGGATGAGCTCCGTGGCAAACTGCCACGATATCAAGATTTACTTTTTTTTATCTAGCTTCGAGATCAAGGGATAGGTCATGGGAAGTTGCAAATTACTGTTTATGTAATGTCGCTTTCTAAGACGCACAAATAAAACTATGTTGGGTCATTTCATAAATCGATCAGTTTCGGAATATCACCATCTGCGATTCTGCTCTGATCATAATATGTTGTAGTCCGTGTGGAATTAGGAGGGGTTTAAGTCATCATTTTGCCGGTTTCGAATTTGTTAAAGAATAACAAGCCTTCAAAGTCCGCAATTTTTGCCCACTTTTACGAAAATAGACTTCACTTATGAATTTTTATTTCGGAAATTACCCAACCGATTGACCTAAATTCTTTTTTGTTTTATTCACGAAGGATTGGGCTATTTTAAAATATTTTTTTTATCTCCGTCAATTTGTTATAAAATATCGCAAAATGTAAACATTGCCTCATTGAAAAAAAAACGCAAAAAAAGAACTCATTTAAATTTTCCGATATTGTATAACAAATTGACGGAGATAAAAAAAATATTTTCAAATAGCTCAATTCTTCGTGAATAAAACAAAAAAGAATTTAGCTAAATTGGTTCAGTAGTTTCCGAAATAAAAATTCGTAAGTGAAACCTATTTTCGCAAAAGTCGGCAAACTTTGAAGGCTTGTTATTCTTTAACTAAATCGAAATTGACAAAATGATGACTTAAACCCCCCCCTAATTTCGCATGAACTACAAGATATTAAAGTAGAATCGTAGATGGCGACCAAAGGTGATCGATTTGACCCAATTAAACGCCATAGAAAAATGACGAAACACCGTGAAATCGTTCGCAATCGATTTCTGTATGTTGTAAATTGAATATGACAAAGAAACCGTGAAACATTAAATCTACCGATCGGCGAGATTTATGCGTCTGTCCGGACTCGCGTAATTATAATGTTAAATAATGCGACGCCTGGCGGGTTTCTGGGACGCGTGCATGCATCATTCGGACAGAATTTAACGCGGCGAATGAATTAACGAGCATGCTTTCCCTGGAATAAGAATTTATCCGACCGGCATGAATTGTTTATTAGCGGTTCAAAGCCGACCCTCCCACGATACTCGTTCGCGTTTTTTCTTTGTTCAACGCCACGTTTCGTTCGCTTGTTTTCATGTAATATTCAGGGTGGTAAATCCGGTCAGATGAGATGGACTAAAAGAAAAACGATATACTTAATTGTATAGGATCTTGGAAGTTCATACGTTTCTAAGTTCAGAAATATTCAGAAAATTATTTTTACCTAAGATTCCAAGACGATAGTTCAGCGTGATCACTATCACGTGGCCAGCGCTAGCTAAAACTGAGCCATCGTAGACATTTCCGGTTCCCCATTCAAAACTTTCACCGTGGACGTACACCATAACTGCGTATGGCGCCTCCAGTCCTCGAGAACCTGAGAAATAAATTCTTGACTTTAAACTGCGACAGCTTAAAAGATATTTTAATTGAAAAGATTCTAACTTGACTAAAATAGAGCAACCAGTTCGAAAATATTAGAAAAGCTCTACTGTTTCAGCCAAAAGAATGAAAACTTTACCGTTCCACTGAATATATTACCTTTATATTATTGTGTTACCTTCATATTATTTAGGATTAGGTAGAAAATAATTTATAAAGTAAATAAACATTTATTCATTATTTTTCGTACAATGATCGTCAGCTTACATTCTAAAATCACTCGAAAACTTATAAAGTATGCGATTCTATCGGTAACTCCATTCAAATTACACAATACTCCATCCAAGTTATACCATCACTCATCTTGTCAGCGAGGATTTAAATCCTATTACGTAAAACATAAATCTTATTACTCGAGTGACGTTCGGATTACCACAGTTATAAAGTTCTTAATCCCGAACTCGGCATTTACAACCAAAGATATTCCGCGTCGTCGTTAGATAAGAATCTTATGATTACAAAAAATAGTAAAAAACGAAGTATAAAATAAATTTAAGATATTTTCATTTGTTTACTTCTACCATCACAGACTAAAATTGCACTTTGACGTTGTTAATTTTTCTGTTGTATCATTTTTAATAATTTGGAAGCAATAGTTTTGTGTTTGTTGGATACTGCAACTTGCAGCAGCGTGGATCCCTGAATGTCGCGAGCGTTTACCGCAGCTAAAAAGTCATCGTGTTTTAAAATCTCTAAAACGTTAATAACATCAACGTGACTGTTTTTTGTATCCCTGAACAACTTATCAATTAGTGTGAACAGATAATTGACGTTGGGGTCGTAGGAAAGATCGAACGGAGTTTCGCCATTGTTATTTTTGATGTTGTAAGTTGCGCCATGTGTGAGCAAAGATTTGACAATATCCAGAGAGCCATTTATGGCAGCTATGTGGAGAGACGTAGCACCACTGCCGGTTGTCTTAGCATTCACATACTTCAATAGTTTATCACGACTTATATGTTGTAACAAAATTTCGACGATCTCCTTGTAATATTTGGAAGCAGCAATGTGTAACGAGGTGTTACCTTTCTTAGTAACTTGAGACACATCGGCTCCGTTTTCTAATAAAAGATTTACAATATCCACGTGTCCATTACTAACGGCAAAATGCAACGGTGCTCTTCCTTCAAAGTCATGATCATTGATATCGATTCCATCTTTTAACATTTTGCGAACAATTTGCATATCACCATTACTAGCGGCGGTGTTGATCTCTCTCTGGAAATACCCAATGATTTTCGATGCATCTGAACCTTCCCATTTATATCGCAAATTAATGAATTTAATCATTGATTCCAACCCTAAAACAATTGAATGACTTGGACCTAAAATGACTCTTGCTTTATCAACACATTCGTTACAAATTTTAAGCGCGTTGATACATTTTCCTTGATCAACAAACATCGTTGCTAGATTGTACTGAGAATGCAAGGTATCCGGGTAGTTTTCTCCAAAAAGGCTTTTTTGCAAATCTAAAACTTCTTGTGTAGTTCTCAAAGCTTCTTTGTATCTCTTTTGACTGTGGTATATACTGGCAATGTGTTGTAACGTTCTTATAGTATCAGAATGATTAATACCGAAAATCATCTTTTTTTTTTCAAAAACTAGTTGATATATTTTTAAAGCTTCATCGTATTTACCTTGGGACATTAGTACCATTGCTATATTATTTTGGGCACGTATAGTGTCTGAGTCATTTTCACCTGATAATTTTTTCCTCTTTTCAAAAACTATTTTATTTAATTCTAGTGCTTTCTCATATTTTTCAAGTGCACATAATACCAAAGCCATATGCAACTCGGTATTTAAAATATCTGGGTGATTTGGTCCTAGTATTTGTTTTTGTTTTTTATATACTTCTTCAAAAATATCGAGAGCTTCTTTATCTTTTCCTTGTCTATGAAGTATTAAAGCATACAAACTTCTTGTGTCTAAGGTGTCCTCACTGTCGAATCCAAACATTTCTTTCTGTTTCTGAAAAATCTTGTCACTCATATTTGCAGCTTTTTCCCAAATTCCTTGTTTATATATTATTACAGCTATCTTTTTCTGAATATCTAAAGTAGCAGGATTATCTGGTCCAAATATTTCTTTTCTTTTTTCAAGCACCCTTTGCAAAATATTCAAACTTAGCTGAAAATTTTCATGGCCTGCGAGAACTGTGCTTGCATCAATCTGAGAAGACACATCTTCTTGCAATACCTCTTTCAATTCTTTGACTTTTGAAAACTTATTAATCATTGCAGTAACTATTAAACTTTGGCGCTCCTTGTTACAAGCACCCATTATCGCTTTCATCATATTAATATCCTTTATTTTGTTAAGCTCATTAATAATCCTGGGGTTATTAGTAGTAACATTTTTGAACAATTCGCTCACTAATTTAAGTAGTTTAATTATATTCTTATCTGCAGCAAAATCTAATGGCGTCTTTCCATCGTCAGAAACAGCATTGTATATTGTACCCTTAGATAGCAAAACCATGACAACTTTTAAATGAGAAAATTTAACAGCATAATGCAATGGTGTAAAACCTTTGTCACCAGTCATATTAGGATTAGCTTTATTCTGTAAAAGAATGTTGACAATTTCATCATAACCTTTCCATGCGGCATAATGTAATGCTGTTCCGTTATAACCTTTTGTTGCAGCATGTTTAGCATTTATACACGCTCCTACTTTGATGCACTTCTCAACTTCTGAAGTGTTATTACGTTTTACAGCATCAAACAATTTCTCAGTTGATACTAATTTCGCAACAATTTTTGTATTTTTAGCCAGACCTACCGGTTTAACATCAAACAAGTTAACAATATTATAAATTGCACCATTTTGCAATAAAACTTCGATAATACTTTCATGTCCATGTAGAGCAGCAATATGCGTAGGTGATAATCCATTATTATCTTGAGCATTAATGTCAGCACCTTTTGATATTAAGTACTTCACAACTTCTAACTGATTTCCCAGTGCAGCGTAATGCAATAATGTTTGATTAGCTACGCCAAGTTCATGAATACTACAGCCATTACTAAGGAAAAATTCGACAACATACCTAAAACCATCTCTGGCCGCAATGTGTATAGGCTTTGAACCAGCAGTATTCCTAGCATTAACGTCAGATCCTTCCTCTATTAGGCATTTTATCATTTCTAAGTCACCCCGTTGAACAGCAATATGTAATACTGTCCAGTTATCATTACCCTTAGCATTTATGTCTCTTTTCTCACTTTTTGATAATAAAAGTTTCACACATTCTGGCTGATTATGTGCAACTGCAAGTTCTAAAGCTGTTCTATTCTTTAAATCCTTAATACTGACATCTGCTCCATTATTTAATAGAATTTTAACAATATCTATGCCACCATCTTTTGCTACTGCACTATGTAGCGGTGTACCTTCAGTAGAGTTAGCATTGACATTAGCACCTTTTAATAACAAAAGTTCAACAGTGTCCCTATAACCTGCTGATACTGCACAGTGCAATGGTGTGATGCCATCATTGTTAGTGGCATTAATATTAGCCCCTTTTTCAATCAAAACATTCACTATTTCTGTTTCACCTCTTGTAGCAGTTAAATGTAATAGTGTAGTATCTTTAACATGACTTAAGTGGATATTAGCATTGTTATCTAACAGAACTTTTATAATATCCTTATGGCCGAAAAACACTGCAGATGATAAAGCTGCACCATTGGCTGCATCAACATTAGCTCCATTTGATATTAGAGTTTCAACAACTTCCTTACAATTGCTTTCAACAGCAGCAGCTAATGGTGTCTTCATATTTCTACTATCGACATTAACGTTAGCTCCATTTTTTATCAATATTTGGACAAGTTGATTATTCCCATTTCTTGCAGCCAAATGTAATGCAGTACCACCTGTACCGAAAGCGTTAACGTCGGCTTTATTTCTTATTAAAGCGTTAACAGCATCTTTATGACCACCTACAACAGCTACTTGTAATAATGTAATACCAAATTTATTTACGGTGTTAACTTCGGCTCCATTTTTTATTAAAAAAGAAATTGCATCTACAGACCCAGAAATGGTTGCTGCCAGTAATGGTGTAAAATTGTCATGAGATGTGACATTAACTTTAGCTTTATTTCTTATTAGAAGATCAATAATATCTGTACTACAGTTTGCAGTAGCTGTATGCAATGGTGTTAGACCATAAATGTTTTTAGCATTTACATCAGCTTTATTTTTTATTAGGAGATCAATAATATCTTGATTATTTTTCATAACAGCTATATGCAATGGTATGTTACCCTCAATATCTTGGCCATTAATTTCAGCTTTATGTTTTATTAGGAGGTCAACAACATCTGTGTGGCAATTCATGGTAGCTGCATGCAATGGTGTCAAGTTCCTACCACCCTTTGAATTAACTTCTGCTCCACTTTTTATTAAAAGATCAACAATTTCCTTATGACCATTTGCTGCTGCATAATGCAATGGTGTAGTTTTATCTATATTTTTAGCATTACTGTTGGCACCATGTTCAAGTAGAGTAGTAACTACTTCTAAACGATTATTTTGTACTGCAAAGTGTAGTGCAGTCATACCTTCAATGGAAGCAATATTAATATTGGCTTTATTTTTTAGTAGAATCTTAACAATTCCATCATATCCATCTTTTGCGGCAAGGTGCAAAGGTGTGCAATTATAGGTTTTAGCGGAAACATTAGCATTAGCTCCGTATTTCAATAGAATGTTAACTATCTCCTCATGACCATGTTCTGAGGCAGAAAGTAATGCTGTATAACCATCAACAGCTCTAACATTAAGATCAGCATTGTTTAAAATTAAAGTATTTACTACTTCTAGATGACCATTTATTGCTGCTAGAAGTAATGATGTTCCCTCCCTATCATTTTTCGCATTAACATTCGCTCCATTTTTTAATAAGAAGTTAACTGTCTCCAG